TAATATAATATAATATAATATAATATAATATAATATAATATAATATAATATAATAAATAAATAGTACGTGATTTGAGACCAGTCCCAAATAGAAAAGAAATCAGAATATAGTCCTCATCAATAGTGATTTTATTAGTTTCTGAATTGAATATGCTGAAATATAAATACAGTGACATTTAGTAGTGATAAATATTTAAATGAGTCAAAAGGGCCTAGAAATGTGATGAGTCAAACTTTTCTTGGGAATCAATGTTAACATTACATTGTCATGTAAGCATAACTTTGCAGCCTGCTCATTCTTTCAAGGATAAAGTGGATATAATTTAACATAATACATTTGTTGATACAATGTTATATCCCAAGCTTTCATAATTGGATAACTGCATTCTTAGTTTCTCTGGAAATACTGAAGCCAGTATTATTGATGTTAGAAAAGATGATGATCCACTCAATACCATTTGCATAATTCACTCAATACTACATTCATACACCCAACAATACTATATTACCAATAAGAAAATATCAAGCCAAAATCCAAAGCCAAATCAATCCAGATCCAAAAATACTAGGGAATTCTGGGAAGCTTGGCATTCAGACAAATCAGCCATCAGTAGACACAGAGATAAACCACATTTACACAGCATTCAAAGGACACAATAAAAAACCTAGATCAAGCCAAAATCCAAAGCCAAATCAATCCAGATCCAAAAATACTAGGGAATTCTGGGAAGCTTGGCATTCAGACAAATCAGCCATCAGTAGACACAGAGATAAACCACATTTACACAGCATTCAAAGGACACAATAAAAAACCTAGATCAAGCCAAAATCCAAAGCCAAATCAATCCAGATCCAAAAATACTAGGGAATTCTGGGAAGCTTGGCATTCAGACAAATCAGCCATCAGTAGACACAGAGATAAACCACATTTACACAGCATTCAAAGGACACAATAAAAAACCTAGGAAGGAAACAAAAAACCTTAGAACGCTTGTCCTCCAGCAGTCAATACTCAGATAAGCAGGGATCAACACCAGACAAACAATCAAGCAGAAAACAATACCCTAATCAAGGAACTACCACACCCACACCAAACCTGGCAGGGCAAGCTACTGTATATAAACAGGGAGAAAACCCCACACTCACTCATACTGATGATGTTACCTAGTTGGGTAATGAAATGTCTGCAAGCAAACAACCAAGCTTGGAGAGCACCAAGGACTCCACAGTTCAACCCTAAGCTACAGATATTATTTTCTATTGAAATATTATCAAAGATAGGTTATAACAGCAAGTGAATTACTTTAACACAAATGTCTGGATTAAGAAATATTTTAATCTGATCCCATACTACTAAGGGTACTATTCTGTAAAGTCTGTAATACTCAGTTATTTCACACAGTACAATCAGAAATGAATTCCACATTCAATGTTAAATCATTGAAACAAATAACAATCCTGAGCTATATTAAATCTTTTGCACAGCCCTGGGACATAATACTCAGAAACTAAGGCACATTTTTCAATATTTTTCCCCATCATTGTAGCAGCAAGTTTTTCTTATGAAGAAAACTAGCTGCCCTGTAGATGCTTTGGATCACGTATCCCATAAACTCCACCAGTACAGCTGAGGATCAGGGATTATGCAGCATTGTGATTCAAAATGCCTAGAGGGTGCTTGCTTCTCTATCCCACCTTATTATTTATACTTTTATTATTTCAATAGAAATGTGCAATATATAATACTGAAGTCATCATCCACAAGAACTAGAGACATCATATTTGTTTGGTATAAAGCAATATTGTTTCGAGCTTTCAGACTGCTAAAATCTATTGTTTGCCAGCACAGACTTTCTAAGGACCTGAGTTTCCTGCTATTCCTACATTGCAACAAGTAAATTAAATTTAAATTTAAAGAGCTATGTGTTCCAAGGCCACACAGGAAATCAGTCTGTTTCTTTCACTCTCCCTAGATGCTCATCCAGAGTTATTGAATACGAGAACAGCCTTACTTTGTTTAGGCAATAAAATGGCAGCAGCTTCCATTAACAAACAATGAGAGGACAGGAGAGCTATTTTTAGAAGGACACAATAAGGAAAAACAGTGATCTTTCACTGCATTCCCTGATTTGGACCATAACATCCACAGTGATCTATTCAGGCTAGAGTAAACAATGGGCTGAATCTTCTCAACTTGCTTTACTAACGTCAGATGCATTTCTGATATCACACAGTTGACTCTTGACAACACAGGAATCCATCTTGTTGCTGAATCAGGCTACCAGACCACTGAGCTGACTTGCTGTCAAGTCTGTCTCAGGGCAATTCCACACAGCTGTCTAAGCTGTTTGTCTCCAATGCTGCTTCTGGCTGTTTCTTAAGTCACCTTCAGACATTTCAGTCCAGATTATGTAGGTTGGCAACAGGGCCAGGCTGGTGCTCAGGTTGGACTACAACCATCACAAGACCTGACTGGTGCTTCATCTGCTTTTGCCCTTCCCATATTCGTAAGGTAGTTAAGCCTAGGCTGGCTTCTGTATGGACCGGTCTACCAAGGCCTGCCTTTTCATTTTAGGGATTGTTCATTCTTCACTAGTCCCTGTGCCTTTCCTTATTTTTCCCTTATGTTTGTATACATGGATGCCTTCAACCCTTTCCCCCTATTATATCCTTCAACAGGAAAGCAGAGCCTTTCCTTTCCTTTGTTCCTCTCATTGTAAAATCATGAAAGCAAGAGGGAACAGATTGTTCCTTTGATCCTACTTCTTTGATAGGTTCATGAAAACTTTGTAGCAAAAAAGAGCTAATAGCTTAGCTTCTTAAAAATGAAGTAGCAAGATTATTAGGTCGCGACCTCATGATGTTTTTTTTTTTTAAAGAAGAATAATAAAGGGAAAGGAAGTTTCACAGTACTGTGGGCAGGGGGTGGGCAAGCAAGGGCAGACCACTTCACCCCAGCCTGTGCAGAAAGCAAAAAAGCTGCCCACTGGGAGATGTATGGGCTGAATGGAACATGAGCTTCTCGAGTTGAAGATAGTTCATTGAGTTAACAGCCCACTGTTGGATCAACTGCAAGATTAAAAAGAAGAAGAAAAGGCACTGCTAACCAGCAGAGCAGCCAGCTGCTGGAGGGGAGAGGTCATCAGTTGGTGCTGGGGCTGCTGAAGAGCAGAAGACAGTGCCAGAGATCATCCTCTCTGAAGGGCTTAAGGCTCAAGTAAAAAAAAATAGCAATTTTGAATCAGTGCTGGAAAACACAAAAGCAAGGTATATTTGCAATGGGCTGGGAGTAGCAGGAAAACAAGGTCCTCCATTCCTGCATTCAGGAATCAGGGAGTGTCTGGTACAGGCAAGGGATTGTGCAGAAAGTACAGATCTGCCCTGATTGTGCTCTTTGAAGTCTGCAGTTAAGGTCTTTCCCATTATCTGATTTTTTTAAGCAGAATTGTCTGGCCTTGAACGTGGGATCTATGACACGCAAAGCATGTGTTCTGCCTCTACACAACAGGTCCTCCATACCTTCTAAGATTTCAACAAACAGTTTTCTCCCCCCGCCCCGCCCCGTTTCTTTCTTTCTTTTAATAAAATGTTCCTCTTATGCAAATTGCATCACTTACATGTGGCCTCTTCCACTGTATCTTTTGGGGCAGTTTCTGGAGTAATGGTCCTGTGCCTATGGACCTAACATCTGCTGGGAAGAACTGGTCTTCAAACAAACGCTCTTTCTTCAAGCACTCTGCCAGCAAAGTGTGATAGTTCTGTTGGCCAAGCTCACTGGGCTTTGCAAGGCCTTTCCTCTTCAAGGGCCGCCACTGCTGACGCTTCCGCTTCTGCTGGTGCAGGCAAAGTAGCTGCAGAAGAGGCATGGCTGGGTCCAAAGGGAAAAGCTCAAGCAGTGCTGCTCTGGATCTGGGTATTGTTTCCAACTCCCTTTCCCAAAGCTAGATGTTCTTCAGTCCAAGTCAGTCAGTCCTGTTTGGAAAGATACCATAAAAAGTCAGCAAGCAAATAAATAAATAAATAAATAAATAAGCTAGCTCTTCCCAGGCAATTAAAGCATTGCGGGATGGATGCATCCTATTAAGGGATAGAGTGAGTTAATTTTTCAAAGTCACATTTTAAAACACAAAGCAAAGAATCATGTACACCATACAGTTTCTGGAAGGAAAACTGGGATTCCAAAGAGAAAAGAAAAGAAAGAAAAGAAGTAAACGTACAACACACATTAAAAATGAATAAAGAACTTTAGTCCGTGCCATAGAAAGAGTCCTTTTAATCTGGATTTCTAAAGAATGCCTGACTTGAAAAATGATGTATATTATTACTAGCTCTTATTGAAATCCTTAATTATACTGAAATCAGTAAAATTACCTGACCTGGCATAAGTCCATGTAGGTCATTCAGGTTTCAAAATCAGGCTTTACTGAATAAAAATCACTTGTGTGGCAAGGAAACAAATGGAGTATATAATAAGCCACAGAAATTACAAGTCTATTAAACAAAAATTGTATCTGTCCTAGCCTTTGCCTGTTCTTGAACATTTCTATTGAAAAAAGAAAAGAAGATGGTTTTAGCAGCTTTGTACTTCGGCAACTAGAGTTTTGATGTTCAGCTCTTATGCCTGGCTATATTAATCCCAACTGTTTAAAATCAAATATCCCTGCCCCCAGAAAGTGTATTCTCAGAATATTTTGCACAGATAACAGTGTGCTTAAGGTTAATTTGATGATTTTTAAAAAAGCCTTCAGCACTTTCCTCAAAATCATAAAATGTCCACTTATGTGGTCAATCAAATATTCAATGTTATCCTCAGTAGATTTCTTAATTATTACTTCAAAAATCCCCAGAGAGCCCCTCCTTCCAAGATTAAACATTGCATTTCTTTTGCATGTGAAGATTTCATTTGGGGTATTTGTAATCCACAGTCCTAAAGAAAAAAAAAGTGATTCTCATTTCAACTTCCATATCATCGCAGAATGTCCTTTGAGGACCTAGAAAACTGCTAGATAAAATGACCAGTCTGAGGACTGTAATTAGATATAGATATGATTGAGAACTGGTTTGGTGTAGTGATTAACATACAAGGCTGGAAATCAGAAGACACTGAGTTCTAGTCCTGCCTTAGGAATGAGGCCAGCTGGGCGACTTTTGGCCAGTCATTCTCTCTCAACTCCAAGAAGGCAATGGCAAATTACTTCTGAAACTCTTGCCAAGAAAACTGCAGGGACTAGTCCAGGCAGTCACCAAGAATCAAGACTGATTCAAAGGCAATAAAAATATATCAATAAATAGATAGATAGATATGATCATTCCATATGCCATCATGTATCCTCCCTAAGCTTGGCAGAACAGGAGAAAAAATGTTGGCCATGGGCCAAGGAATGTCAAGTAAAATTTCCAGTCATCCAGTAATGTAGTCATTTGCATGATTGTCCATACTTTCCGCAAAGAGCAGGGAGCGGTCAGATTGCATGCAAATAGATTAGCAGGTTTCCCTGCTTGACAACACATTTTGTGATGGAATGGAATTATGAAGGCCAAGCTCAGGGAGATAAACATTTTCTTGGCTTGCCAGAACAGCATGGGAGGAACAAGAGGATGA